CCTTCCCTTTTATGTCTCAGTGTGTGTATTTTGGGGTGTGTGTGTGTTTGTGGGGGGGACGACGACACACAATACCTGGCTACATTCAATAATTTTACGGGTTGCATAGAAAGTATCCCATTTACTCCCTTCTTGCCCTTGTCAGCTCCAGAGTAGCAAGTCCCACCGAACTGGGCAGATCTTACTTTACAGCAAGGATGCTTAGCAGATCCCTATGGGAAGGAACCTAGTTGGCTAGCTGAGGGATCCAGGTAGTCCCAACTCACTTCCCACAGCAGGGGCGTGGGAAACACTCCTACTGGTTCTTGGAAAGGAGTAGAGATGGCAGAAACCACGCAACAGAACAAGCCTCATGGATATTTCATTTCACACACCCCACCCCACAAAAGGTTTCACAGTCTCCAAAGGTATATTTTTCATATATATATATAAAAATATAAATATGCGTCAACATCTTTACATGAGTTCTTCTTTAGCAAAATGGGCTTTTGAACCAAGATCCTTTTTCTAAAAACTGAAATCTGATCTTGGGATTTCTGGACCACCAGCTACGTTTTCTTCCTTAATAACGATGCCATAAATGTTATGACATTTTTTTCATCGTGGCAAATCTTGTTTTTAAGACAAAAAGAAATCATGTGCAACTCTACAACACCCCCCTCAAAGTTGAAAATAGGAAGTGGCTCTGCCCCCAACAAAGAACACCCCCAGACTGAAAGCCACATGCAGGAGGGGCCCTGCAACACACAGACACACGCACACACACACACACACAGCAGTTCCCACCAGGGCTGGCGAAGCCCCAACCACCATTCCTTGCAAATCAACCAGGAAAAGTAAGCAAGTGAGGAAACGGCTCCCTTTTTTTGGGGGGGGGGGAAGCATGGAGGAACTGGAGATAGCAAAATAACTCAGTGCAATGCAGGAAATTAGGGAAGAAATATGCGTAATAATAAACAAACCCCTCCAAAAAGAAGAAAAAACCCCCCCAAAACCTGCATTTTCTGGACTGCTGAAATAAACATCCCTTCCAACAATAAAAAAAACCCCGCTCAAATCACAAATGACTCCTTTTCACACACATCCTTGCACACGGACAAGATAAATACTTAAAACGCGCAGCCCAAACACAGTGAAGAACTATATTTGAAAAGGTTTAATGGCTATTTGAGGGGTGGGGAGAAGAGGCGCAGGTGATATGGCAGTGAAAGGGATATTTTACTTTCTTTCTCTCTCTCTCTCTCTCTCTCTAGTGCACACGAAAATGGGGGGGCAGAAGAAGAGGCGGGTGACTTCCTCGACATTCATGGGGGGCTGCCTGGGCGCGCACCACGCCGGGCAGAGACTCAAGAGCAGCATCGAAGGCACCCGGGCGGGCGGGCGGGCAGTCAGTGGCGGGGCTCCTTTCCGAAGCGACCCCCCCGCCCTGGACAATCGCCTCCTTCGAAAAAAAAGGTTCGCCTTTCAGTAGTTTTGCTTTTCCCTCCGGTCAGCAGCAGGGGGCGCCCTCGATCTTCCGGAGACGCTTCCTAAAAGCGTCCCCCCCCCTTTTTTTTTTCTCCGTGGAAAGAGGCCGGGCGAAATTCAGCCTTTTTTTTGGGGGGGGGGGGGGAAGAAGAACGGGGCGGGGGGAGCTCCGGGAGAACCGACCCAAAGGCTGCAAGGAGCGAGCGGGGGAGCGGCGATTGCGGTCTGGACACCAGACAAAAAGCGAACGGGCGTCTTGCTCCGGAGCAAGAGCTGCAAGTCGGACCCTCCGAAGTCGGCTTGGCTGCTTGAGACGGGCCGGAGGGGACCCAGGTCCTGGGCGCGGCGGGCAGCAGCCGGTCGGCGCCAAGGAAGGAAGGAAGGATCGATCGAGCGAGCGAGCGGAGGAACCAACACTGTGGAAGAACCGAGGTAGATGAGAGGCAGAGCAGCGGCGGCGGCGGTAGTACAGCTCCCGAAGGGCGGGGAGGTCCGGCCCAGCGCCCGCGTCTCCTCTGCCCAAGCGGCGGGGGGAGCCGGCCGGCCAACAAGCGCGCATCTCTCCCGGAAGCGGCGCAGGGCTGAGTCCTCGGGAGGCGCCTCCGCGGCGGGCTGGACCGGAGGGGATTGCGGGCCGCCGCCGCGGACGCCGCGACGGAGTTCCCGGAGCGCGCTCAGTCAGCCGCGGCCGCCGCCTCCGCCCGCGCCGCCTCCCCCGCCGCCGCCGGCGGCCGAGTACTTGGCCTTGGTGATCAGGTAGAGGACGATGTCCTGGTGGCCCCCGAAGGCGGCGATGTGCAGGGCGCTCCAGCCGTCGCGGTTGGCCAGCCGGATGTCCGCGCCGAACTTGACCAGCAGCTTGACCAGCTCCAGGTTGCCGTCGATCACCGACTGGTGCAGCGCCGTCTGGCCCTCCGGCCCGAAGGAGTTCACGTTGAACTCGCAGCTGCTCATGTTCTGCAGCAGCGAGTGCAGCTCGGCCGTGTTGCCCTTGCGCACCGCCTCCTGGAAGACGCGCTGGCTGGGCGCCGCCGCCGCCGCCGCCGAGCGCGGGGCCGACAACTCCGCCTGGCTCATGGCTGCGCGCCCGGCTGGCGACGGGGCAGGCGCCGCGCCCGGCCCCGCATGGGCGAGGCGGCGCGCGGGCCCCGGAGAGGCCGACCGGCCTGGCTTCGCCTCCGCCGCCGCCGCGCCCGGGATCGCCGCCTGGCTCGAAGGCTCGCTTGGCTCCGCTGGCTGCCTCTGCCTGGCTGCTACGGGCGCCGAGCGCCGCGGGTCGGCCGGGGACTGAGCGGGCGGCCGGCGGGGGCGCTTTTTAGGCGGCCCCGTGATATTTGCATAACAATGGGCCGGGGCCCCGCCCTCCCCACCCTCCCGGGAGCGGATTGGTCGCTGCCTGGCGAGGGAGGGCCGACACAGCCCCGCCTTCCCTGCACACGGCCCGAGCTGGACCGGGGAGGGGGTGGGGGGTGGGGGTCGTGGGACCCGCACCGGCGGTGGCGGCAGTTTCCCGGGGTCGGCCGAGCGCTGCCCTCGCTTGCATTGCGGCGGCTGTGCGATCGGGACTCCCGGGCAACCGGGCGCGCGTTGAGGGATTGCCCTGCCCGTCTTTTGCCTGGGAGGGCTGCTCCTCCTCCTCCTCCAGCCGGCAAGATCGCCCGGATCGAGAGAGGAGAGAAGGGGGGGGGGCGAGTTGCTGCTCCCCACCTGGGTAGATGCAGCCCCGGCGGGGTGGGACAGAAATAGCCAAGCCGCTGGCCTTTGGGCTCAGGAGGTGCACGACGCCCGTTTCCCCCGTTCTTCCCCCTCCTTGACCGCGCATCAGCCCCCAACTCCCAGCAAGAGAAGCCGAGAGGCGCTTCACCCCTTTTCCCTCCCCTTCAAAACGGCGCCTTGCACTTTGCAAACAAGCCTGTGAGGCAGAAATTCAACAGGGGTGGCTACCGTCCCTTGAACTTTCTGCTCCGAAATGCTTGCCTGGCTGGATTGTCTGCTGCTTCCGTTCCCTTTTTCAAAAGGGTGCAAAGAAATCTTGGGATTCTGCGGAAGCACCTGCTCTCTTTGACCAGGTAGGTCTCAAACCACGCAGGTCTCCCAGGCGCCCCTCCCTCCCTTGGCCTCTCTGGAGGGCTCCCTGTTGGGACACCCACCTGGCACACAACTACAGTAAAACTACAGCACAAAACAACCAATAAACCAGCCTGGTTTGAAAGAGACCCGGTTAACTCACCTGTTTTCTCTGCCCCAAAGAAACAACCTACTGACTGTCAGGTTTGCTTCCCACCTGCATGAAGCTCCTGTCCTCTGTTCCCAGGGCAGAAGGATCCAGGGCATCCCTGAAAGACCAAGCAGGCGCAGGTCAAGGGTCTGGCTTACATTTTAAGGAACAAACTGGAAGGGGGGTGAGCTTGGGGCAGAGGTGGCAGCACAACCTGGGATACCACCCTGGCTCAGATGGCAGCAAACCCCACAGAGAAGTGGGGCTGCCCCATGCATTCAAACTTGCAGAAGTAGGTGCTTTTTAATAAGACAAAACGTGGGGTTCTCTTGTGGTTGGCAGTTTTTGCAGAAGTAGCAAGAAAAGGCCTTGCGGTGGGCGCAAAAAGGTCTTCCTGCCTTCCTCTCCTCCTCCTCCTCCTCCTGTCCCCCTGGTATAGCCCCCCCATAAGGGGGAAATGGTGGGGTGCAGGCGTGCCATGGCTTCCTGGTTGTCCGTGGGTCCCTGCCTGCTTCTGTGGAGTGGCTGTTCCTCAAAGGGAGGACTCGGGGTTTACATGGGGCAGGAGGCAGGGGGCCCTTATCAGGAAGCAGATCTATTGAAAACGATTGCTGGGCAAACAAAAGACAGAAGCCGCAGCCAAGCCCACAAAGGAACTGCTGACTCAATCAATTTGGGGGGGGGGGGGGGGAGGGGAAGAACAAAAAGACACGAGGAGGAAGGGGGGGGGGGGGGGGGGAGACAGGGGGCAACCGGGGGGGGAAAAAAAAAAACGGGCCCGGGCCGGCCGGGGGGGGGGGGGGGGGGCGGCGTCTCCCATTCCAAGGAGCACTTAAACCAAGATGAAAGAAGAGACCGAGGCCAAGAGTCCCGTGTGACCCGAAAGTTTGCAGGTTCACCTCTGCTTCCACCACAAGAGAGGCTTCTCTCTCTCTCTCTGGTTTCCTGCCTGAGGGGTGAAGAACCCACCTCAGTCAAGGAAACTTTTTTTTTGGGGGGGGGGG